AATCAAAACATACTGTATTATAGAGAATATCTTTTCTAACCCCTCTAAACATTAAAAAGATGTAATGAGGTGTTTGGTTATACTGCTTTTTTATGCTGCACTTTTTTTTTATGTTAAAGTTTAAAAATCAATTACTCAGGACCAGGGTCCAGGGTGACTTTTAGGTCTTGAGGACATTTGGACCTTTTTCAGGAAATCGCAGTAACACTCATCACATACCAATAGTGGCCTGGACATGTTATAATTACATAAAAAAACTCTTTTAAACAATCAGAAGAGGCAAGGTTTAGGCCTTCATAAAACCTAGACTTTTTCCATTTTTATTTTAACATTATTATTATTATTATACAGTATTTATAAAGCACCAATAGTTCGCTCAGTGCTGTACATTACAACATTTGATTCACAAAGCTTTTTCATGGTGTCAAAAAGATTATTACAGATGGCAGGCTGCTCTAGCTCGTAATTCTAGCAGAAACAGATGATAGACTAGTTATCACATGGCTTGAAACTGTATAAAAGCACTGATGAATTTGAAATATAAAAATGTAAAGAGTAACAACAATATCAAAACTTGATAGGTGATTTTTAGTAAGATTAGTAAAATGTACTTTCCAGTTTGACTAATCTTGGCCAGGCCTCTGATCTCCAGATATAATTTTGTGCCTCCCTGCATTATTACTTCTAATAATTTAATTCTAACCAGACACCTGATTCCCAACAAATGTATATATACATGCAACACAGCCCTTTCCCATCTTTGTTGCCTAGACTCCTACTAGAAAGCAAAGGGCATCTTGGCCTGGGAAAAAGTTTAATGCCACTTGGATTCTATGTGAAAACTATCACCCTCACCAATCAAATACCTTACCCATGTCAGCTGCCTCATATCCACGTTGCAGTATTGTCCTATCAATTCTTGCAATTAGCCAAGTCCCCAAAATCAAACTACAGAAGAGTCGAAGAAGGCAAGCGCTCAAACCAAGGATTACATTGTAGAAGAAGAAGAAATAATTGAAATTATGGAAGGCTTTCCTAAAAAGAAAAAAAGTAGTTAAAGCAGTAAATAATTAGCAATACAATAACAATTGTACATACAGTAGCTGAGCTGCATTTTGCTTTGATGCTGAGAATCATTTTTATCCACTTTTTTATCCTAGTTAGCTACGGGGAGCTAGAAGACTATTTTTTTAGTTTTTGGGGTTTTTGGGTCAGGACTGAGAGGCTCTGATGCCTGCCCCTGATCTATAGACTTGGAGAAGTCTCTAGAACTCAGTGGGCAGGGACAGAGGAAGAGCTGGTCTGCACTCTTTAGGGATCCTGGCCAATCCCCAAGCAGAAGGCTTGGCATGGGGTCGGGACAGCCCTTAGGAGTGACTGAGCCTGCTCAGCAGCAGGAGAGTTTGGGTGGAAAATGGAGTGAGCAGGCTGGAGTGAGGAGCCTGGGAGGGGGTCCAGGAGAGGAGCCTACCTACAGGCAGAGGAGCTGGAAGGGAGGATCTCTCACCCTCAATCGTCTCCTGAGAGAGGACAACCTAGGAAGCAGCCGTCTGGCATGTGGCTTGGAAGCAGCCATAAACCCACAAGCTTGCAGGAGAGGAATGAGTAATTCCCCACACCCTGGGCCAGATAAGAGAAGAGGGCATTCTGGTGGGAAAGTGACTAGCCCCCATATGGGACTGATGATTCTAAAGTGGCAGATTCTGAGCCCCCTTGCTCAAGGATTCCCTCAGGCAGCTAGGTGAAAGAGGAGATTTCATCTGGGATCTGAGGAGGTATACCAGGAGAGGCTGGACAGCTCTCCAAGAAGAGGATTTTTGTCTATTGGACTTGTACATTGTTGTTAAGGAGTTTGTCCTCAGTTTACAGTTACTCTGGGCATACCATACACTCCTCAACCCCATCTATGTTCTATACCCCTTAATAAAATCCCAAAAAAACAAGCTCAAGGACTCGGTTACTGTTTCCTGTGTGCAAGGTCTGAAGGAAATGCGTGTTGCCTGGCTGTGCAGGACTATAGGTGGACCCAAATCTCTAGGGACTCCTAAGGGGGTAGTTCTACACTAGAGTAGTAAATGATTGTTCTTCCAACAATCCAGTAATTGATTTTTGTAGAACTAAGAGTTGTGATCATAGTTGGTTATTTATGTAAGAGATTTTTATTACAGAAGCATTCATAACTGATACTAGGGTAAAGAATAGGTGTATTATTATGTTAATGATTAATAGTGATGGGCCAACACCCCTCTATTCGGTTCTGAAAGTTCGAAGTTCAACCGCGAACATCGAACAGGGACAATTCACTAAGTGGTATCTTACCGCATCTGAGTATGTGGTAAGATACCACACAGCTACTAAAATACTGCATCAGTTATATTATTAAGTCACGCAGTATTTTAGTAGTGAAGACATTCTTTATTGTTCCGCTGTCAGCGTGGTTCCCTGCTGACAGCTGGATATAAAAAGAATTGCTCGCATTGCCCAGCAATTAAAAAATGTAAAGAAAAACCGCAAGTCCTTCGGGTCTGGTATAGATTCTGAGGGGAACCCCCACGCCAAAATAAAAAAAAAAATTGTGAATGAGTATGGGGTACTTGGTAGTGCTACCCATTCACAAAACAAAAGTGGAGTGTAAAAATGACAAGAGACAGTCTTTGACAAGTCAAAAATTAAAAACAATTCTCCCAAAGTAGATCCAATGTCAATTACGATGCCCGTCACCACAGCCGACCCGAAAAAAGAAAAAAAAACGTATTGCTCTCGGCGCTGTCTCCCGGCCATCTGACAGCTGCGTCGGGATGACCGTTCCTAAATAGTGTGATGACGTCACAATGCCCCCTTGTGACATCATGTGCTGTGATTGGCCAAAGCATTGCTTTTGCCAATCACAATGCACTGTCAGGGTGCAGTGCATTGTGGGGTGTGGTGGGCGAACAGCCCACCGAACGCCCTTATTGTTCTTGTGTTCACGGAACACACGAACGGCCCATGTTCAAGCCGAACTTATGTTCGACTCAAACATGAAGCCCAACACTAATGATTATAGCGCCAAGTGTCACATTCTTTATGAACATGAAGAAAACTCACATAATGCATGTTCCTAAATGTGGTTCTTACGTTCTTAAGTTTGTTTCTTATGACCTGTCAGAGTGGCTGAAGAATAATAAACTGCTTAGCTCACTACTGGCTTTCAGAACGTGGTTATCTCATATCATAATACACTTGCCCTGGAACTAGCACAACTTCAGGGAGATGGTCTAGATTGTAAGCTCGAAAGAGCAGGGCCCTCGATCCCCTCATGTTTTGCATTGTATTGGTATTGTTCTGTCACATGTTCTGTCCCCCTTTGTAATGTACAGCGCTGAGTGAACTATTGGCGCTTTATAAGTACTGTATAATAATAATAATAATAATAATAATAATAATAATAATAATACACCTCAAGCAATGGATGTTAGCCTTTGCTATGCTGGTATGGAACCTCCTCAGAGGTTACTTGTAATTTATAAATGTGTCGTTCCCAAGATTATATATTATAGATTGCATTTACAAATTATTGAGTAGAAGCAATACCTGTTATTTAGAGCTAGGGGCTTCTTTTTATCTTCTGGTGATATTTTCTTTTGTAGGAAGAATTGCCCCGCTAACACAACTTGCAGGATCATCAGCAAAATAACGATTAAAATTGTAAGGCTTGGGGAAAAAAACGTAATTGAATTATTGTAATTTTAAACTTCACAGAATTATATTTGAAAAATAAAAATAATTTGTCATCACTGGAGAGACCTGTATAGAACTAATTTAAAGTGGTTGTAAACCTCAGACATGAAATATGAACAAAGCATATCCCTCTATAGTGTGTACTTGTCTCAATCCAGAGCACCAGGTGTCATTTTTTTCAACTGCTTTGTTCCTCTGCTATCATCATGAGTCACTTTTGACACGTTTTCCGTGATACCAAGAGAAAAATGGTGACGGGGAGGGTCCTCCAGCTGATTGACAGCCCCAGCTCTGTTCCTGTGTCATACAGGATGTGTCCCTTCCCTCCAATCAGCTCTCAGAGCTCTTATCACTGGTGTACCAACAGCTCCTGCTCCCTGCATTTCAGAGCTGAGAGGTCCAGTGTAAATCATGCACTTTGAATGGATGTAGGTTAAAGAAGGCTGCAAATAAATAGGGGCAATATATGCAGGAGGTTTTGTTTCATTTCTATGTATTAGCCTGTGTTTCACCTGAGGCCAGTCACTTCACTGGGTATATGTAAGGGTTTACAACCACTTTAAAGCTGAATTTCAGAAAAACATTCAAGGAGCCAGAAAAAAACGAAATTCTGACATTTTTCACACATATGTTAAAATCTGCTTTTTTTTGTTAGAAAATGACTTAGAACCCCCAAACATTATTATGTATTTTCTGAAAGCAAAGTCTCTGGTGAATACAATGGTAGCTGTTGCAATATTTTACATCACACAATATTTGTGCAGTCATTAAATACAAAAAAACAAAAATTCAGGAAAAAAAAAAATGCTCTTTAAAAAATTTTAATGCACACAAACACAATATAATACCCATTTTTTGTTTTTAAATATAAAAGAATATGTTGCATCATGTAAACAGATACCAGACCTGCCAAAATTTAAAATGGTGCATGCTTGTGAAATGGCAACAAACCATGGTACCTAAAATTGTCCATAGGTGACACTTTAAGAAAAAGTTTGCATAAAAAAAAATGCATATTTTTTTACACATAACATAAAAAATGTGCATTTTGTTTTTTATTAGGAGCCTGTATAATATTGCACCCATGATCAGTAGACGCAGGGCTCTTTTTATTATTATTATTATACAGGATTTATATAGCGCCAACAGTTTGCGCAGCGCATTACAAAATGAAGGTAGACATTCCAGTTACAATACAATTTGGTACAAGAGGAAACAGAGTCTTGCAGATTGTTAGTGGACTCCCTATGATTAAGTCCGGAAGTGACGAAACGCATCAGTGATTGGTTAAGCGGCAACCGGAAGTGACGGACAACGGAACTGGAAGTGACGCAGGATTGTCCGAGAGCGAGGACCGGCAGTGATGTGAGCATTGTGCGGTCTTGCCTCTCTGATATTACTGATATACTCATATCTTTGGGCTTGATATATTCAGATGTCTTGTAAGCAGGGGCAGACTGACCATTTGGAAACTCGGTTACTGCCCAAGGGCCCAGGGTCAGTAGGGGGCCCCATGAGATGCCCCTGGTACCTTTTTTCATAGGCTTTTTGAGTTTAGGCAAGGACACAGGGGCCCCATGATCCCCTATTGCCCGGGGGCCCCCTGCTTGTAAGTAAGATTCTCGGGCAGAGAATAAATGATTTTAAATTGTACTGCACCATGTCAGGTCTCTATCTTTTATTTTTTATGTGATGTTTGTGGGAAGTATCCATCAGAGGTATTAATACACTGGAGAATTTGAACCATTAATGGAAGGAATCGTATTGTATCCTGAGAGATTATCTTTCCTTTGGAGGAATATGTATACAAAAGCGCAATTGCCAACCATGAGAATGGAATGCAATTATTTCTGGTGAGTGCACAGCTGAAAGGGGAGCACGGCACAATTGAAGATGTATTTGGATACTCACAAGGTGATTTTGGAAATATTGATTAAATTCACGTGGTGATCACAAAAGGACTGGAATGTATGGACTTTTTAGTTGTTTATCACATGATTATTTATAGAGTGTCGCACTAATATTTTGGAATCACAAATATGATTTATTTATTTTATGCAGTGTAATGTGGCAGCAGATTATTTGTTTTATTTTTTTTATTGATATTCACATTTTCATAGTGCAGTTTGTGTTTTGAAAGTCATTATTTGACCTAGATAAATACGTTGTTTTCTTGTTAGTGTATCTGTCTGCTCAGGCAGGAAGTTACACAATGACAGGAAGCATCAATGAACTACCACAGTGCTTACCAACGCACTGGTAGTTCATTGAGAACCGCAATCTCTTCAAATAGTGGCAGCAGGTATGGGGAGAAGATCCAGGGACCTACGTACGTGTTTTCATTTGCATGTACATGCATGGGGTTGGGGGTGCTTTTATATTTTTAAATATTATTTTATTTAAATGTGTATTTTATACATTTTTTTTTCATTTAACTTTATAGCTATCACAAAGGGGTGAACAATCCCCCTTGTGATAGCTTTGGGCAGTGATAGCTACTCTTTATGGTGACATAGGGGCCTTTTAGACCCCTAATGTTTCCCCTGTCTTTCAAAGCAGCTGATTAATTGCAGACTGTGTTTGATCAGCTGTGTTCCTGGTTGTAAGAGCCAGGAAATGACAGCTCTGAAACCGAAAGTGATGACATTTCCTCCATCTCCTCTGTGGGCAGCCATCTTGACCACTTATCACGGAAAAATGGGAGAGCCAAGGAACCACCACAACAGGAGCAGGAGGGGGCTGCCCAACAGTGTAATAGTAATTAGGCAGCTGTAAAGCTGCTTGAATCACATTTACATGAAAGCCAATTGCTGGCTGAAAAAAAGCAATACCAAGATCATGGTTGCAGCTACAGCTATAATCTTGGTATAGCTGCTTGCTGAACAGGACTGTTGAATAGGTACGCTGGGTAGCAAGAGGTTAAACAAGTTTTTTTAATGCAAACTAGGGTTGCCACCTCATCCCTTTAGAACTGAACACATATTAATAATTTGATGCAGAAGAAGCACTAAGTGATTTTAATTGCCACCTTAATCAGCCACAGAACCTGTGTAATCAATATGTGTTCAGTTTTAAAGGGATGAGGTGACAACCCTAATGCCCATACACACGATAAGAAAATCGTCCGAAAAATTTCACAGAACCACTGATCGAACGATTTTCTCTTCGTTGATGAGCAGGATGTTTTAACCAATAACGATAAAATCTGGTTGAACAGCCGTGAAAACTTTTGACATTTCGCATATGAACGACCGATTTTGTGGTGGTATGACGGTATCATGCATGAGCGGAAGATGACCCAGATGTTTATGTCCAAGCAGGGGCGGACTGACAACTCATGGGGCCCCTGGAAAATAGGGGATCATGGGGCCCTGTGTCCTTGCCCAAACTCAAAAAAGCCTATGAAAAAAGGTACCAGGGGCATCTCATGGGGCCCCCTACTGACCCCGGGCCCTCGGGCAGTGCCCCAGTTTCCAAATGGTCAGTCCGCCCCTGTGTCCAAGGAATCTTCATAAACACGAATGAAAAATCCAAATGTAAAAGTAGATTGGCCTGATGAGATAATGAAACCAGAATTATGTATATTATATTTTTATGTATCACTATTTATGTATATAGTTAATGTACTAAACTATATTATACTCATTGCTGTTAATTGTTGTGTATATCGCTCGTTCCGGCCAGAAGGGCGTGGCTACAAGGTCACATGCACACTGCATCACTTCCACTTGTACGGAAGACGTCAACACTACGTATTGCCCTACGAACGATTTTTTTTAAATTGGTTAATGTGGGCCACGATTTCGACCAACTAACAAACGCCTCTCGGTCGTCGGATGACCGATCGGTTGATTTTCTAATCGTGTATTCCCACCTTTAGGCAAACAGAAAAGTTAGTGATTGTGTTCACACTTGTAAAACATTGCGTTTTGTGCCTTACCCACAGTACAGGACCTGAGATTCTCTGTGACCTCTTGGTTTCAGTTCTTTTTTTTTAATCAAGTACAACTTGGCTCATAAAAGAGCAGGAGAGAGGATTGAAGCACCCTAGTACACACCCAGCTATTGACAAAGAATACAAAAACTTCCTGTGAAGGAATGATTACTTCACTTCCATTAGATGGTAGCACTGCTTCATCACTGCAAACTAATGCTGATGAACAGGCTCTACAAGATGGAATACAGGTAATATGACATTTACCGCGTACGGTAGAACACATTTGCTAGTATGCAAGCTTGCACAGATTTTAACTTGCAACTTCAAACTGAGTGTTTGGATTAGAAAAAAAACCTTTAGTTCTGATTTAATTGTCAATGGTCTTTATAAGTGCTTCATTCAGCTCTTTAGCAATGAGTTTTATGTGCTGCACTGGGGGAGGCCCACTCTTTCCATAATGTTTTCCATCGGTGGGGAGAACAGTTCTCTGCAAAAAACAAAATATGCTATTGTACCACATAAAGTTTCACAATTCAAATTATACTTACATGGTGATTCCAAAACCTTTAAACAATATCAGAGCTTGTCCAGATTTTATTGGAACAACAACTGTATACACAAAAGCCATGCCAAACATGCTCTGAATTATGTGTAGTATCAAATAACCTGAAATATAAGACAAAAATATAATCAATCTAAAGAACAGAACACCACTGATTTTTTTCTCTAGTTAGCACAAAAGGCTTACCCCATAAAACGTACGCTACTTGCCAGCCAGTATACCTTGCTATAGCAGCCTGCAAATTGACAAAAATCAGAAACAGTAATTTTTATTATCAAAATATACTTATGGATTTCAGTATATAGTTGGGTATAACAAATTTTGTATGTAATTATGTTGCTAACTGAAACCAATAAATGTGCAGTGGCTAAAAAAGTATTACAGGCAACAGAGAAAACCAATATGTGAGTTGCTAATACAGTAGTATCTAGCAAAAAACATAACTGTGCTAAATTTGGAAACTTTACTTAATTTATGTAAAGTATTATGTATAGCCATATACATTTAGGGAAGGACTACAACTTTTGTAAGCAGAGGCGTCCCTAGGGTTGGTGGCACCTGGAGCGGTAACACGTGGTGTCACCCCTCCAGAGAAGAAGGAGCAGTGCCGGTGTAGCGGTAATATGAGTATCCCATGAAGATATGTATACCCTGAAGCAACTACGCATGTGCTGGTTTCAGGCCGAAGGAGCCAATCTCCGACTTTAGCACAGAACTGCCACAGTTATCCCCTTACAGGCTGCAAGCCACTGAAGCTGATCCCGTGGATCACTATAGGTTGCACGATCAGTTAACTCCATATAGGTTGAACCTATATGCGGTTAACGAGATCTTGCAATCCATACTGATCCACGAGGGGGTTTAACCTTTACCCACTCTATCCAACATTAGATTACCTTAGAGATAGAGTTTAATCTGAGTTCTGTGTAATCCACTGCAGCAGAAATCCAGGCAGTACTACACATGGAGTGAACTTTGAAAAAAACCCGTGCAGTGAAAGTTCCTATCTCTCTGCTGCCTATATCACCAATCACATTCACACTATAAAGGCAGGTTTGAATGAGTAGTGCCTGTGAGGAACTTCTTATTGCTGTTTTGTTTTAAACAAGGCTTTATTTGTAGGAGAGACAGTGTGTGTCACCTGAAAAAAGGAACAGTAGTGGAACAAACCCAAGGTTTCCTGTTTTAGGGTGGTTCCTTTCACTTGTGTCACCCTACAGAGCCACCCTCTACATGGGACTAGAGTTGTGTCTCCCTACATTGTGTGCATCAATAACAACATACAGCCCCATAGCCTAGGATGGCAATGATCCTCCCTCCTACTTCTCCTTCCCTTCTCCAAGCTAACAGACTGACTCCAGGCTGCACTGTCCACTGTAATATTTTCCTGTGAAGACCAGAATTTCAGGGTTCAGTGCTGAGAGAGCAAGAGCAAGCAGCATTGAAAGTTGTAAACTGCAAGTGCCATGGTAAGAATTTTAATTGGGGAATGTTTATTTTATTGTGTGAATCTTAAAATGCTGGGGGTTTAATACTTCCTTAGGTTAGCGATGCACAGGGATGTCTATGCATCTTTCACGTGATGCAAACATGCACTGTGCTGCGCACGTCAGGCTCCCTTTAGAAACTGATGTTATATTTGGTTATCTCAGCTCAGTCAGCAGACAGCAATTATGATATGGTTCCAAAACCTTTTTTTTTAGCCTGCATGCACACCTGAGTAGAGCATACTGGATTCCTGGGGTTTTGTAAGTGTTTTTTTGCACTTTTTTTGGGGTGTTCTTCAGGTGTATAACAGTTGTTTTATAGGCATTTGTTCCAAACTTCAAGGAGTTTGTGTCCTGGGCTTTGTGAGGGGAGGAGAGCAGTTCTAAAAGTGGAGAGGAGTTCTTCATGCACAAAAACTTATGCAGAAACCTACATATTGCCTGTTTACAGGTGCTACCATTTAAGTATATAGGACAAAAAACATGCCTGAATATGCCCGAAAAAGCTTGTATACTTTTTTGAGCATTGGGCATAGAGTGTGGGACAAATGAGTGTGCAAACTGAAAGGTCCCAAACCCATAGTAATAGGAGCACTGCCGGGTCACCACTCAGATGGAGCTTCACACTGCAGGTTCTCTGTCTTCCCAACCCATATCCAGAAAAAGTAGCACCCCTCAAATCAGGAGACATTGAGCCCCTCAGGTCCCTCCACACTTAGGGAAGTACTACCGACACCCACCGATAGACGATTGATTTGGATTTCTTCCCATGGGGAAGGTCCCTCAGGATTTCCGTCATACAAGCAGGGATACTATACAGCCAGCCATTCTAACCAAAAGGCCAGAATGATGACGGAGCCCCCCTACTGGACACTGATAAGAACACATATGACATTTGATCTTAGCTATAAGAATGCGTGGCTATTTTTGCTGTACCTGTCTGATTCCCACGCTTTCAGAAATAGTAAAATGGACAATTCTTTTTCTGAGTTAGCATAAAAGTAAAAACCTTGACACTTGTAGGTACCCCGCCTTAGGCTCCATTCAAATTAGTTTTTTTTCAAATCGTAGGCAAAATCGCTGCGATTCTGCTCACGATTTCAAAAAGGGCTGTAAAAGTGTGAAAACGCACAATAGTATTTTCAGGTGCCATTCATTGCAATGGCACATGAAAAAGCAGGGCGTTTTTGTTGCGATCCCGGCATGTTTTTGTGCGTGGCGATTGCACAAACAAAATCATGGCATGCATGATGCCCAAAAAAAGATTTGAAAAAATCTAGTGTGAATGGAGCTTCAGGGTACATTTCAACTTTTGCATTAAAAAACACCACTATATGCTTGTTATGGGTTTCCACAGCATTCAAAAAAAATTGAAGCAGACCTCTGGGCAGACTGCACTCTACTCTGAACCATTTCAATATGGGTCTGTCCCCAGATAAAGAATGATGACACAGTGCGTTTTCCTAAATAACATACAATGCAGAAGCCAGGATTCTAGATCATTAACCCTTTGTTAGGGCAGACAATGGACAAATTTAGTTTACAACTGCTAATGAGATCTTTCTAGCTCACTACAGACCGGATAAACTTTAACTTCCCAACCCTCTTTGCATAGCAGAGGTTTTCAGAAAAGAGCAAGCACCAATTTTTTTTTTAAGTGGTTGTAAAGGCTCAAGGTTTTTTACCTTCATATATTCTATGCATGAAGGTAAAAAACTTTCTATGTGCAGCATCTCCTCCAGTCCCCCTAATACTCACCTAACCCCCTCTCTCGGTCCAGTGATGTGCACTGTAGTCTCGGCTATCCTGGGACTCCCTCTCCTCATTGGCTGAGACAGTGGGAGGCATTGGTTCTTGCAGCTTTCAATCACAGCCTGTGAGCCAATGAGAAGAAAGAGGGGGTGAGGCCCAGCCATGGCTCCCTGTGTGAGTTGACACACGAAGCAGAGGCTGGGGAGTGAGCATGCTCGGGTGCCCCCATAGCAAGTTACTTGTTGTGGGGGCACCTAACAGGAGGGAGGGGTCAGGAGCACTAGCAGGAGACCCGAGAAGAGGATTCAGGCTGCTCTGTGCAAAACCACTGCACACAGCAGGTAAGTATAGACATGTTTTTTATTTTAATCTAAGCCTTTAGAATCACTTAAATTTGTGCTATGTGAATAAAAACTTGTGTAAAAGATACTGAGCTTAGGTATCCAGTGGCAGAAGGTATCACCAGATCAGTGAGCTACACTCAAGGAACCAGGAATCAGACCGATTAGGATTTAATCACTTTTGGGCCTCCCGCCCACAATCTACAGCGGACGGGTGGCAGCTACAAGACTAGCGACGTACCTGTATGTCACTGGTTCTTTGTCAACACAGGTGAGCGCTACGTGCCCCACATAACCCTACCCCCCCCCCCACACCCCGGTAATTGAGACCCAGTGATCACATGATCACAATGACAACAAAGCTTTTATGAATCTGATTCATAAAAGCTTTGTTTCTGTTCACATGGGACCAATCACAGCACCCTGTACCATTTGACCAGCTAGAGCCAATCACAGATCACTATTATATTGAACTGTCATGAACTTAACAAATTCATAACAGTTCAAAGCAAGCTTTGCATTGCAGAGCAAGGATCTTCATTGCTCATGCAATGCAAATTGTAAAAAAAAAAAAAAAAAAAGAAAAATCCCTGATCACCCCCCAGAGTAGTACAATGTTACTATGGTAACATTGCATTACTCTGATGAAAGCATTACAAAAAAATTCAAAAAATTTTTAAATAATGTTAAAAAAAAACAATTGAGAGAAAAAAAGCTACTTGCCACCCCCCTGCCAACAATGTGTGGGCAAACGGCAGCTCTGGGAAAAGGGATGTAATCTTACATCACTTTCTATTTCCGGGTGTGCGTGCGTATACATGTGCCCCCCGCTGCCCCCGATGCCATCCAGAGAGAGAAGAACAAAAGCACAACATTTTACACACACCTTAGATTAGCACATTTAACTCTTTGATCACCCCTAATAAAAGATAATTTCACCTTTGGAACCGTTTTGTGGAGTGCCGTGGTAGTTCATTGAAGCGTCCTGTCAGTATATCTACTTGACCGTACATCCCGCATGGCAAGCAGATATTCTGACAGGCCTGCAGGAGACCTGCATGGTATCAGCGATCTACTGATCATTTGGCGCAATGCTTTGCAGGCTCCTTTGGGCAAAAATAATAAATGCACATTTTTTTTTACCTGCAAAAAAATGTGCATTTATTATTTTTGTCCAACAGGTGATTGTATCCTTGAACCCTTTGATCACCTCCTCACCAAGCCAGTGACATTATTACAGTGTCAGTAATTAGAAATTTTCATTGATCACTGTATTGCTGCCACTAGCGACATCAGATAGCATCAGGTTATCGCTCCTCCCAGCCAGGGTCAGCTAGCGGTAGGCTGCCCACACACTATCCCACTCACGCTATAGGTTGCTGATCACCGCCATTACTAGTATAGTGTTTGTACAGATCAATATATTGATCACGAACAGAACTATACTAGTGCCTCCTTTTTATAATGTCTTCAAAAAACGCAGTATTAGCAGGATCAGCCCCGTTTGCTGCCAGCACTAGCATTTAGCTGTTTTTCACAGAAAATTTGTATCAATTGATTGTGGGCCAAAGCAATTTATATGCACAATACATCACCGACCACCCAAATTCAGCTCTTGCCAGACAAATCACATTGAAATTAATCACAGTTTCTTCATTACAAAAAAGAATGAATTGCGGTCATTTCGTCCACAGATCCGATTCATCATATGCCCTTGTTCTCTGCTATTACATATATGCCCAACATGGACCAGCAACGTACTAGTACTTTGCTGGATTTTGAGTGGTTATACCAGGATGATGCCTGCAGCTACAGATATCAACCTGATATTGTTTTTTTCAGGAGGCGGTCTGCTTTCATGTAAAGACAATCCCAGCTGCTAATTAGCTACTGGATTGCTTTTACAAGCAATGGGAAGGAACTCCCACACCTTTCAAGGTTTTCTTGGGCTGTCCCGTCCCACCGGGGAACCCAAAAATGCAGCCGGCAGTTCCGCTGGCTGATAATAGAGCTGATTGGAGACTTGAATGCCTCCAATCATCTCTATGGTCTAAGAAACCAGAAGCTACAAGCAGTTAATCATTTCTGTTTCCCTGGATATAAACAGCACCATTTTTAAATTGGGAAAGCATCTGATCACACCGATCTTGGTGTGATCAGATGCTTTAAGGGCAGAGGAGAGATCTAGAGTCAAACAGACCCCAGATCCCCCCCCCCCCCCATGGCCCCTTTTTGGAAAGCAGACACTCCAAGATATTTGCTAAGAGGCATGGTGAGTATTTTGCAGATTTCATTTGTTGCCACAAGTTTTTTGAAACTGAAGAAAGAAAACAAAAGTGTATTTTTTATTTTCTTTTTCAAAATCCTGTGACAAAAGTTATATCTGAAAAATACTCACCATGCCTCTTATCAAATTCCTTGGGTGTCTACTTTCCAAAAAGGGGTCATATGTGGGGTTTTTTGTACTATTCTGGCATTTTAGTGCCTTCAAAACTGTGATAGGTAGTGGGGAAGTCATATGAGGACTATGCCCTTTGAAAGCCTGGAGATGGTCATTGGATTATGGGGGCGTGTATGTGGCTAGGCTGCCAAAAAGTCTCTCACATGCTGTATCCCCATTCTCGGGAGAAGTAACAGAAATTTTGGGGTGTTATTCTACATATACCCATGGCATGCAGCAATATATCATTTAACCGACAACTTTGTGTAAAAAAAAAACAGTTTTGTCATTTTCCAAAAATTTGTGGCAAAACATTTTTTCCATGGACTCAACATGCATTTCAACAAATTCCTTGGGGTATCTACTTTCCAAAAAAGGGTCATTTGGGGGGTGTTTGTACTGCCCTGGCATTTTAGCACCTCAAGAAATGTGATAGGCAGTCAAAGTAAAAGCTGCATAAATTCCAATATATATACCATAGTTTGTAGACGCTATAAATTTTACACAAACCAATTATTATGCTTGTATTGAGATTTTTTTTTTTTTACCAAAAAACATGTAGCAGAATACATTTTGACCTAAATGTAAATATATATTTTTTATAAACCAAAAAAAAAGATACTGTTTTTTTATTCAAAATTTTCGTTTAGATCACAAAAAATAAAAAACTCATTGGTAATCAAATACCACCAAAAGAAAGCTCTATTTGTGTGAAAAAAAGGACATAAACTTCCAATGGGTACAGCATTGCATGACCACTCAATTACCAGTTGAAATAGCTCAGTGCCGAATAGCAAAAAATGGCCTGGTCATTAAGGGGGGTAAATCTTGGTTAAGTAAGATTTATTATTAGTGAAACAAAACCCAGTCCAACAATAGCAAACGATATACAAATGTGAGAATATACATGTGAACAGTACCCATGTGACAGAAAACCTAACTAGATAGCCTATCATACAATATATACAAACAAAAGGGAAGCATGGAATAACAGGGTAAAACTGTAGGTGCAAAGAAAGGTCAGGAAGGGGGAACTTGGACTGGGATCTGGAACAAGGGGAGCAGATGAGAGGTAGCAGGGTACAGGATCACACAAAGAAAAACCAGCAAGCAGGTATCTGACTAACAGGCAAAACACTGAATTAAAGATGCAAATCATGGGTGGGGTTATATACATTCCTAGCAGCCAGCAAAAGGTGGAACCCAATTACTGGGATCTGCTGGTATATACCCACTGGTGGACACTGGAACTATGCCTTTCAGCTCTGGGAACTCCACTGCGACCAGCACGTGATCGGGGACCTGCCTGAGGGCCCGGGGTCAGTAGGGTAGGGGGCCCCATGAGATGCCCCTGGTACCTTTTTCATAGGCTTTTTTGAGTTTGGGCAAGGACACAGGGGCCCCATGATCCCCTATTTCCTGGGGGCCCCATGAGTTGTCAGTCCACCTCCAGCTGAACTCCCCCTAATTATTTTTTCTGTGTTTGTTTATGTAGGTAGGTTAGGGTGGTCATTCCATACCACACTGAGAGGAGGAGTGCTAGACACTAATAAAAAACTTACAACTGACGCAGAAGGTGAAGGCTTGTGATATTTTATAGGAAGAAATCCCTTTTCTCCAATCCAGAGTCTCTTCATATGTTTTCTGTAAAAAAAAAAAAAAAAACTTGTTTTATTTTATGGTGCAAAACCAGATTTTTATTTGAATCTTTATTAGTATCTGAGCAATAATAGTGACTGGACCAAAACACACCTGAAGATACTGTAAAGTAGGGCTTAAAATTTCAAGTCGTGAGCTATAAGCCAGGCCTTAAGAGTTACTCGCCACCAGTTGCCCCACCCAAGCCCTACCCTGCTACACCGCTAATTCCGCCCCTAAACACGCCCTCGTAAATTATTTCATGAAATGACACTGTTAAATGTTACCCACATTACATCAGGGTCCCCGAGTCCCCCCACATTACATCAGGGCCTCCAATGTTCCCCTAAACACTCCATCATACTTAGACCATGCACCGCATACAACCATAACCCCCCATAATCTTTCACTCACAAAACCATAACTCTACCATGTATATCCTACCTACTATCCAACCCAGCAGTACCTCAAATGCCCCATACTCTACCACCCATAACAACCACATAATCCTGAACCTGACCAAACCACCCATACATGTAGGTTTACATACAGACACATGTACATACACACACACAAACAGAGACACCAGTACACACACACAGACATGTACATACACACACACACACATACACACACAGAAACATGTACATACACGCACAGAGACACATGTACACACACACACATACAGACACATGTATACACACACAGACACATGTACAGACACACATACATGTACATACACACAGACACATGTACATACACAGAAATACACATGCACAGACACATGTACATACACACAGAAACATGTACATACATACACAGACACGTACATACATATACACAAACACACACACATGTACACGCACACACAGACACATGTACACACACATACATGTACATACACACAAACACATGTACATACACACAGACACACAGATACATGTACATACACACACACAAATACACACATACAAATACACACACACACACATACAAATACACACACACAGCCCTATAAAAAGTTGCAGTACTTTGTTGTTCACTCACAGAGCCGGGTACTGCACTCTAGGGGGGGCAGAGAGCACAGCACACACTCCTTCCTTTGCTTTCACTTTGCTCAACTATTGAGCAGTCTGATGGCTCCCAGTGCGAGTGACAGATCCGGCCCTGAGTTCTGAGCCTGCTCAGCAAGACGGCCCTGGGGACACACTCGCCCCGCCGTAATTTTCACTCGCCAATGTGAGCAGGCGAGTGGAAATTTCAAGGCCTGCTGTAAAGAACAGGTTACTTTCATAGTTCTAACCGTCTGGTTGTTGTAATTTCGGCTAAAAGGAACAAAAAGCCGTCTGCAAAACCACAGAAAGCATAGCTTCCATAGACTGCACTGATGATGACTATTAAATCTAAAACATCTTTATACATCATGGAATAAATATATGTAATTTTAACCAGCAATGTTAAGTGCTAAAATGAACCAATTTCCTTACACATGAAAAATAATGTCCAAGTCATAATGTTTTAAGCTCAAATAAACCAATTATAATCAAATTAAACATGGCAGCATTAAATATAGAAATAAGAATTAATTTCTGAACATCAAGATCTTACCTATAGCAGACTAAAATGTGAAAGATATATGACACAGTAACTGCGCATGATAAGAAGGTAGTGAAAAACCAGACACCTGAGGAAGAAAAAAATACAAAGCCTTTCATTTAATGGCAAATTTATTCATACTTTGTCTGTAGCAATTATTTTCCCTAATCAATGTGCCAATATGTTTTTACATTCTTGTTTAACAGCTAGCTACTAAACTTAAGCTGGCCATAGGTGGATCAAAATTCTGGGATGGAATTTCAGTCTGTGGCCATTTCCATTGCAGAGGAGTCAATCTAGTGATCAACTCCTCCTGAACAGGACTACTGGAAAACTTGTGTTCACTCAGCACATGTAGCCAATCAGCTGCAGCAGTGATTAGTGTATTCTGACAGTGGGGGAGTCCTGTTGTTTGACTACAATAATGCAGCTGGGTGGATTTCCCCATCCAGCTCAAATGTGAAGATGGGGCATCCGGTCAGTTTTTTTTAAACCAGCCCACAGGTTGATAAAAAAAAAAAAAGGAATAATATATGGTCAGTGTAAGCCTTTCTGGTACTTTGATTCATCAAGTACATTAGAAGTATTGTTTAAAAAGCAAAAAAAGTCTATACTTTTTAATGGCAGAGATACAGTATCTAACTAAAGAAATAGAAATCACAGCTTATTTTTCAAATGACTGGATGTTTGCAGTGAACACAATGAACAATCAAGCCCATGTTCTAACTGCAGCGTCATCACAGGCCACTAGAACTGTGGATAGGTGCCAGACAGATTTTTTGGGGACAGCTAAACACATGGTTTGGAATAGTTTTCAACAAAGCAAACAGTTATTGCATAAAGGGCATAGCTACACAATTTTAAAGCCCACAAATACACTCCGGGTACATCAAAACAAAAACAGAATAATCACCAAGGCTCATGACTTACAGTCAGTAGGATTTGTTCTTGTGCTCCACCCTTCCTCTCTCGGTTGCACTCCTGAACGCCCGTTCGGTTTGCAACAATCTCACCGCCATCCATGACCTCTTTGTCTCCCACTCCCTCAACCTCCTAGCAGTCACCGAAACCTGGATCCAAGCCACCGACTCCACCTCCCCTGCAGCACTCACCTATGGAGGCCACTCACCCAGACCGAGTGGTCGCAGGGGCAGTGGGGTCGGCATGCTCCTGCCACCCCTGAGCACCTCCCAGGTCCTCCCTAACCCCCCCCTCCCTATCCTTCTCCTCCTTCGAGGCCCACTGCAGCCGGCTCTTCTCTCCCACCCCTCTGAGGATTGCAGTAATCTATCGGCCTCCAGGATCCGTATCCCTCTTCCTGGACGACTTTGCCGCCTGGCTTCCCTTCTTCCTCTCCTCTGAGCTACCGACCATCATCCTCGGGGATTTCAATATCCCCATCAATGTCAACAACCCGGCTACTTCCCAATTCCTCTTCCTAACCTCCTCTTTCACGCTCACACAGTGCACACAGTCCTCCATCCACACCGATGGGAACACCCTGGACCTCGTTTTCTCCCACCTCTGCACCCTCCACAACTTCACTAACACCCCCTTCCCCCTCTCTGACCACCACCTCATGTTTTCCATCTCCCCCTCCTCTAACTCCCCCCCCCAAAGCGTCCAATTATCACCAGCCGTAAGCTCCGCAACCTGAACCCGGCCCATCTCCACTCGGCAGCTGACCGTCTGTACGACAGTATCCTTCCACTGTCATGTCCTGACCTGGCCACTACTGCGTACAACGACTCACTGTCAGCTGCCCTAGACTCCCTGGCACCCCTAACCATGCGTAACATCAGACCCCAACCGCTTCAACCCTGGCAGAACGACCATACAAAATGTCTCAAACGACGCAGTTGCGCGCTGGAGCGATTATGGCGCAAAACCAGATCCCCTCGAGCGTTCTCCCTCTACAAATCCGCCTTCCTCACCTACTCCTCCTCCCTCCACGCCGCCAAACAAGCCTACTTCGTAACCCTCATCAACACCCTCTCCACCTGCTCTTCTCCACTTTCAAATCCCTGCTCTCTCCCCCCCCCCCCCCACCCCCACCCAGGACCTCACTCACCGCCCACGAGATTGCCAATCATTTCCAAAACAAGATTGACGCAATCCGTAAGGACATTGTCAATTCACAATCTACCTCTCCACCTAGCCTCCCTCCCTCCATCACCCCCTCAACTCTCCCCTCCTCCGACCTCGCAACCGCACTGCCCCCCACCATACCCAACGCCCCGCACACTATAACCTCCCCAACACTCCGCTCCTTCTGCCCTGCTATCACTGAGGAGGTCACTAAGGTCTTCACTGAAGCCCGCCTCACCACTTGCCCCCTGGACCCTATCCCCTCACAACTCCTCCAGTCACCCCCCTCCTCCATAATTCGCTCCCTCACCCACATCTTCAATCTCTCCCTCTCTACTGGCGCATTCCCCTCCCCCCTAAAGCACGCACACATCACCCCCATACTCAAAAAACCCTCCCTTGACCACTCGGACCTAAAAAACCTTAGACCCATCTCCCTGCTGCCATTCACTTCCAAGCTCCTTGAGCGCTTAGCCTACAATCGCCTAAGCGCCCACCTCACTGATAACAACCTCCTTGATCCACTACAGTCTGGCTTCCGCCTCCTACACTCTACCGAAACCGCCCTACTCAAAATCACTAACGACCTGCTAACCGCCAAAGCTAATGGCCACTACTCAGTCCTCCTGCTCCTCGACCTCTCCGTGGCCTTCGACACAGTCGACCACCCCCTCCTTCTTACTAAACTGCACTCCTTTGGCATCAGAGACTCCGCTCTCTCCTGGTTCTCCTCCTACCTATCCCAACGCTCCTTCAGCATTACCTATAATGCTGCCACCTTCCCCTCTCTCCCCCTCTCTGTCGGTGTCCCCCAAGGCTCTGTCCTCGGACCCCTCCTCTTCTCTATCTACACCTCCTCCCTTGGCAAACTGATACATTCCCACGGCTTCAACTATCACCTCTATGCAGATGACACACAAGCCCAAAAAAGAAAAACAAATGCAGCCACCGCATCTAATGATTGGTAAGCTGCAGTATATTACATATTTGTTTTGGGGCATTATAAAATTTTAAATGCTTAAAGACAGAAACAATTGAGTACTGTCCGTGATACTTTTTTTATTTGCACTAACATATAATTTTGAGGATAAGCTTTTGGGGTATGTCCC